CAACAACAGTCGCCATCTTCTATGAATGACATGATTTCAACTATGAAATCTGCAATGGAAACTTTCACTTAGAATAAAACTTCTCGTAAGAGGAAAAGAGACGAAATGAGTGATTCGGACCAGTAAAGCGACGAGGAATCCATAACTGAAACGGTAGAAAAACCGCTCGATATTTCTAGCGAAGTTAAGAAACTTCTGAAGCCGAGCGACCCTTCAAGAAAGCGCTCACAAGTTGATGATGACGAGTGTCTTAGAGAACTCTCCAAGCTTTATGAATCGGAAGGAACGGTGAGTGAACCGGTGAATGCTCCATTAGCTTTGCTTGTCGACAAGATGGTAAAAACCAGTCTCTCTGAGGACAAAACAAAAGAAAAGCACGAAAAGTATAACAGACCAGAAAACTGTGAAAATTTGATAAACACAAGAGTGAATCCAGAAATCTGGAGTAACATTAGAGCAAATACTAGGTCCACTCAAGTCAAGTCTTCTGAAGACTATGATCCCTAATATCGAAATATCTGATAAATTGCTGGAGTTGTTAACGTCCCTGTTACATGTCCAAAACTGAATATTTAATGCATTGCAATCACTAAATATGTACAGGGTGTGCAAAAGTGTAAAGTATACAGAGGTCCGTGCAATAATATGATAATACATGTTGGTGCGACGAAGCATGTGATACATAGTTGTGTGACAGAGTTAAAATCAAACTCCAAAGCAGTGTCTAAAGGGGATGTCCCAGAGTTTCTTCAGCTCTCATCAGATTCTCTTTTGGGACACTATAATTGAGGTCAATATAAAGCATCATGAGCTTATACAACCTGACTTAAATGATCAGTTCAAGCAACTTTGCAGTGCTCAAACTCCTGTGACTAAAATGCTACTTGGAGATGATTTACCCAAGTCAGTGACGGAAATTGCTGAAACAAAGAAAGCGAGTGTCAAAGTTTCATCCAAGCATCCAGGACATTACCACAAGCAGCAAAGGAGACCAAATTTCTCTTATTGCCAGCACCACCAGAATCAGAAGCCTTTTTAATGGAAAACTTACAGGCTGGGGAAGAGATCTTCTATAGACCCCAAAAGGAAGGGGAGACGCGAACAACAACAATAACTGCTGCTAAACCTCAAGACCACCTAAATTTGCAGGTGAGTCTTAATAATTGTAATGATTATACCAATGCATAAAGCATATCATTTGTTGTTGGTATATTAAAACATTTTCAACCTGCATGACAAACTATAACCTCTGACTATTTCATACTTAGTTTCATAACATACCTAATAAATTTGTCTAATCAAATTCAATTGCGCGAGCGTGCTTCGTATTCCTATTGTGCACGGACACGACGTCAGCAGACAAATCCCTCGAGAAAAAAATTTTCCATCGGGTTGAAAATGTTATAAAACAATTGATTCATACGTCAGCTGTGCGCCTACGCCTCGAGCAACTCTAGCTTCTTGAGTGCTCTCCAAACTTCCCACGTGCTTCATATCTCGATGAACGCACGCTGACGTTTGAACCAATTGTTAATCATAACATAGCTAGTAAATTTGTCTAATCAATTTTAATTCCTATTGTGACGCTCATGACGAAAAAAAAACACTAAAATATGGCATATCTATTCACTGAGATTTTAATCATCGGCTGTCACACAGAAATATAAAATAGGGTTTGTGAAAAAGACCAGGTCAATGAAATTAAAGATTCAGGAGAAGTAAATGACATTAACTAGTATAATGACGTTATCACCTGAATTCAATCTGGAAAGAGAACTCTGCAACACTTCTGTTTTATCTACAACACTTCTGTTCTCACACCTGTAAAGGAATGGATAAATGTTGCATAAAAAGAAACCTCCTACAATAAAATGAAACAGAAGCACATTACTTATATCTGTATGCTTTTGAATACAGCTATAATAGATATTTTTTAAGCAGTTATCTACATATGTAAACCGGGTGCAATATACGGACATAAAAGCAATTTTATTCTCACCTTCCTCGTTGAGGGGTGCCTTGTGTATCAAATATATCAGTACCTCCAGAGTCACAAGCCGGGCTTTTGGGGCAACAAAATAATAAAATAATCAACGGGCCAATTTATCGAGAGTCAATTAAGTATAGTTTCCTAAAATCGTATGGAAAGTTTAAAATGTGCTCCCTTGTGCTACGAATACGGATTTAACGTTCTTAATTACTGGTAAAATTCCGAGGGTGTGACTCAATTAATTCAAAGGAAAATATCAAAGCAGGTTACAGAAATGGTTCACGAATTGTAAACTGATAATGTGTTCACAAAACTACCCGAAATTATGATGCCGATAAGAATTTCCCGTTCAAATGAATGAGAATGAACCTCAATGAATTCAACAGAAAATATTCGAGAAGGTCCATGTGTCATTGATCCATTCAAGGTTCGTTTAAATCAAAAGTTGAAAATCGATGTCAATTTTTTATTTTTTTAATTTTTTATCAGAAAAAATACGAAAGAGCGCGAAACCTTCACTTCCTTCGCAGACTCCAGGCAGGCCATTGGAGGGGGTGGTATCAGAAATTTACCCCCTCCCTCTCCTTCACCTTCATTCCAACCATGTTTTACAGTATGGCGTCTGAAATGTCGATATGGCTACATCACCCGCTCTAATGTGCTCCAATGCGAAGTCTAAGATATTTTTAACTTCTTAGCGTCCAAAGTCTGGCTGCTCGCTGTAATGGACAGAATTGAGGAAGACGCTCTAAAACGTCATGAAAGACCGCGGAGACAGTTAAACTCTCACTTCCTTCCCAAACCCCTTAAGCAAGGAGACGGACCTGGCCACGGGGAGGGCGCTGGGGGCAAAAAATACCATGCGAATGGACCCCTCCCCCTCCCTCTTGGGTAGTTCTGTCAACGATTTTGAATGTTTTGGCCGAAAAACAAAAATTGAAAATTGATTGCAATTTTCAATTTTCAATTTTTAGACTTCGTCGAAAACAGAAAAACTAAGCCATGCCACAGACTGCAGCATCGTCGGAAAAGCAAAATTGCCGCTCAGTTTCATTTTTCTCTTTATTGTTGACAGGATTAAAGTAAAAATATAAGTTATGTTTCAATACTCTATCAAAAGGAAAAAAAGTCAAATATTTTCGAGTTGGCACTTTCGTATTTTTTATGATAAAAAATAACGAAAATCAAAAATTGACATCCATTTTCAATTTTTGATTTTAGACGAAAATTGAATGGACGAATGACACACGGACCTCTATCACTTCGTTCTTAGCGTAAAACAACAAATCTTCAACAAAGTGCTATTTATCTAAATGAATAATGTAAACCTTGCGATAGCTAACTGAAGAGAGAATGATAGAAATTTGTACACGCTATCATTTGAAAACTTTCAAGGCAAAAATAATCCGTGAAATAACTTCTTTTCCCTTAACACCATGAGTGTATTAAACATTCCAAAAGATAGGAAAAGAAATAACTTGAATAATACGAACACTTTGAAATGTTATTTTAGCGATGAACCGGCGCGAGGGTTTTAAAGCGATGAATGCAAAAGTCATTGTTTTACTGAAACGTGATTTGAATTATAAATTGAAGCTAGCTTCAAACGAAGATTCGGAAAAAAGGTTTGAATTTTTTTGGGCCTTAGCGAAGGAGAAAACCCAGATAAGACACAACTTACCTCCTCTTCTTTCTCGAATCCTTTGTGTTCCGCTTCTCTTTGTTGATGACTTCTTTTCAGTCTGTTTTCTGGAGCTCTTCGTGTTTCCTTCTCACGTTGCTCTTTGCTAGAAACTCGCCTTTTTACTTATACCTTCTCTTTGTTCTCTTTCGCGTTCCTCCTGCCGTATTCCGCTTATTTCAGCGTCCTTTCTAACTTTCTTGCGCGTTTTTCTCGACTCGCTTTACGCCTTTTACTTCTTGTTTTCTTTGATCGCTCTGCATCTTTCTTTCCAGCCTATTTTCACTGAAAACCCTTTCTCCGCCAACTTGAATTATAACAATTTCCTCCGGTTGACAAAGCTTTAGCTTTGTCGGCATTGTTGCTCTGCGAGTTAATTAAAAATTGCAAAATACTGAGAATTACTGTTCAACTACAACGTCACCAGTTTGATTTCCCGCTCAAAACGCGTGTTGCAATTTATTTGCTTACGCTGCTTCATATCTACTAGCCCACGTGAAGCCCTCGTGTAATACCTAACTGTGTGCCCGCTGTACGCTGCACTAAAGCTCGGCACTGGAGTATGCGTACTTCATGGTCATCTGCTGGTGTCCCCTGGCCCACACTAACTGGGTATCCTACTTACGCACGCAATCGCGCCTGCGCATAATCTTCTCCTTGGCCCTTCCATTACGTAATGGCTAAGGTAGTATCCGCAATGCAGTTGGCCGCGCATACTAAAAGTAGCACCTTGTACGGTCGGTCTTACGGTCGTAAGTCCAAATTTTTTCGGCTTGATGGATTATTACTATTTCGTATAATTATAGGGCTATTTTGCCCGCGCTGCGAGCTCCGCTATTAACATTCGCCTCAAATCGTAATTTTGAAAGCTGTTAGTTGATTCTTTGTCTTACTTCTTGGCGGTTTTTCCATTTTTGCCGTGGGGTTTTTCTTCGCCTTAAGCAACTTTACTCATTATTGGGTCGTCCTCCTCAACACTCTAAGTGGCGATCGAAATGAAAAAACGAGTCTACCGTGGGTACCTTTCCCGGGAAATGTTGACGAACCTTTGTGGGCTAAAATCTCGCATTTAATTTTGGGAGGACTACATCCACTTCGAGTGGCTTCATAGGGTATTCAGATTTGACTGACTTTTGTCAAATTTCGTCGAAACATTCCAGGAATAATGACAAAATAAAGTGTGTCGGGAAATTTTGATATTTAAAATATTTTTCCTGTGGATTCCATTTACGCAACACACCTCGCATATTTTAGCTACAGGGTAATTTAGTGTCATCAACTGAGTTGATAATGTAAATTGGTCACAGTACAGAGTTTAAAGGATGACGTTTCGAGCGTTAACCCTTCGTCAGAGCGATTGGAGGAATTTTGGGTTGTGTGTGTGTTGAAGAAAATGGAGTTTCGCTATTAGTAGGATTATGGTGAGGAGAAAAAGAGGAATAAATTAGTTAAATGAAAAGCGCTCGTTGATACCGTGGGGATTGAGAGTGCCGATTTGGAAGATAAATTTTTGTTCTTAAGTCTTGCGGCTTTCCGAACTGCCTAGATGTAAGGAAAGGCAGCAAACTGCCATATGCTGCTTAGAATGATTAGGGAGATAAAAGTGTCTAGCGGCTGGTTTTTTTCTACGTCGCGAAGGTGTTCCCGGAAACGGTCAAGTAGTCGTCTTCCTGTTTCACCAATGTATAACTTTTTTTCTTGAAGCGTGATGGATGCGAAGATGAATACAACGAGTAAGTATGTGAATCTGTAGGTTTGTAGTAAACACTAGTGCATAAACTGTTGCCTTAAATTGAAATTTTTGATGTCTAGAAAAGCCGAAGAAGAGTCGGAAATTTCCCAAGTATATTTAACAGCCGGGTGTAAGAAATCGACGGCGGTAATAAATTGGGTGAGCTCATCTCTGGTAAAGGGGGTGGCGCCGATGAAGTCGTCAATTTAGCGGCCCATAGAGTTCAGCTTCGGAGCCGTGGTATTGACTAAAAAAATTAGTGTTCGATAAAACCTACGAAAACATTGGCGTAGCTGGGTCCCATTTCGGTACCCATGGCTACGCCATTAGTCAGTTTGTAGTCAGTTTGTAGTCGTTGCCATCGAATGAAAAGCAATTGGGTGTAAGTACTAGTTCGGCTAGACGAAGAAGTGCTTTAGAGCTAGCTTCCTTAACAGTGCGTTGATCGAAAAAAATCATTTTTTGAGAATTACATCTCTTTATACTGTCATTAGGAATGAAAGTATGAAGAGATATAATATCCATGGCAAAAATAACTGTTTTGGTCAAGGAAATTAAAGTTACGAAAAATTTTCAAGTGCGTGTTGGCTGTCCTTAATGTAAGATGGTAAAGTTTTGACGTAGGTGCCATAATTTTGTATAGTGCGATATCTAGACAAACAATCAGAATATCGAAAAAGCCTGACACACATTGTTGATTGATGCCCTGTGAATAAGACTGTACAGCCATTTAATGGCTTGAGCGGCGGCATCCGATACCAGAAGAACCCTCGGTCGTTTCACGCCTTACCGGCTCCTGACACTTCTTAAAACGAAAACTTATTTAAATTATATTTTTATCTAGGTCAACTAAATGCAGATTGATTGAAAAAACTATATGATTTATCTGTGAATCTATTCAACAAAATCCATTCAACCTCAAACGACCACGAAGAACAACCTAAGCTGTCTTCGCAAAAAAGAAACTGAAGATGAAATTAAACAAGTCGCGAGGAGATATTCAGGTTAACACTTTGTAATCGCCCTTTGTTCTAAATTTGGTGAACCATCCTTTTCTCTGGCCATGAGGACACAAATCTCTGTAGAACTTCAGTCCAGTTACTTGAATAAAGCCGACGAGAATCTGAGACTCCTCATCCAAAAGGAATCCTGCAATGAGGGATAAAGCAGCAAGTAAATATATTTCGGAATGCATGACTGCATGCATCTTTTGCAGCTATTGCTCCGTTGCAAAAGGGAGAAGGATTACAGTTGGCTTGCATTTTGGTAGTGCTGCATGCCAGATATCCTACGGAAGCCGAAAAGGGACAATCCATAAATATTTTGCAAATCCGAAAAAATATTAAGAATCGATATCTTTAAGACAAATTGCTTTCGAAAAGTTTGTCAAGTCAAGAAAACAATTTCAAATCCTGGTTCAATTCATAGATCCATAAATAACTTTCATGAAAATCGAAAATAGTTTACAATCCAAGAATCTTTCCCAAATCCAGAAAACTTTCGCAAATCGATAAAAATATTTTGTCTCGTGACACTTGCGCCAGTAGTCGGCACTCTGTCACAATGCAGCACGTTGTCTCGCACTAGGTTGCACTAGGTCGACTTGGAGTCACTACGCGAACGGACTAAACTGTACCAAGTGTATTGCGATGTTCTGCCACAAATGTGGAAAAGAATTTGTGAACAATGAGCTATCTGCCGTCGATGTGGAACATTAAAGAGACCCAAACAGAAAAATGATTCAGAAGCAAGATCAAGCTCTCGTAAAATCCGCATGACCATGTCCCGAGGAACAGCAATGTAGTAGCTTGTTCTTTAGCTTGTTCCACATCGCACAATTGTCAGATTTTTCTTACACGTTCAACGCGGACCCATATGAACTGTCACGTTTATTTAAACTTCTGTCATGCGATATTTTTTTTGTGCAGTGGTGACCTTTGGTCTGAGCGACTAACATTTGAAACTAATTAATGTATATTCACATGGTCTGTGTAGGTTTCGACATTGAAAAGGGATGTTCGTCGCGATTGACACAAGCTTAGGTTGTAAATAGGCACGAATTTCGATTAAACGACTCGAAGTCTTTTAAAACGATATCCAGGAAGTGATGAAGGGCCTCTGATTTCACGTTTAATTACCTCCCGAACTTCGTACTCTGAATGGACTTCATTTCTCCTTCTCAACCCATACTCACGCAATCTTCTCTTTAGAGTCCTCAAGTTCCTACAAATATCATAGTATTTTTCTAAAAACTTAACAATAGTACAATAACGAAATCCTCTTTCAAAGTGATGTTCAATGGCAGATCTCTCCTCTGACGAACTGTGCAACACATTTTTCTGTTCGGATCTCTTTAATCAGGTTCCACATCGACGGCAGAATAGCTCATTGCTCACACATTCTTTTCCGCTTCGATATCTCTTAGCTAGCTATTTCTTAGGAAAATTGACCGTAAAATAAAAGAGTTTCTTGACGTCATTCGACTGAAAAATGTCGCAGAAATCCGTCCCGTTTTACGACTTCGTAGCGTGTCAACTCCATGCTTTTACGATCAGAGTGAATCATTCTATGTGACAGGGTCATACTCGGTTTTCAGAAGCTTTTGTCCGCACGGCGCCAAGCAATGTTTAAACCTAATCAGATGCATATAAGCTTCTTGTCTAACATATTATGCACTTGGAAGTAAACTAAGGGGGCTTTCATCTGAATTCTTTAAAGCTTTTTAAGGCAGGTTGACAAGAATGGACTTACCATTCGACCTTCCATCAAGGACCAAACACACGTGGCATCCATCGTTATCATCTTTCGATGTAATGTTGGTAAGGTTGTTCTGTTCTGCAAAGTTGATCATCGCTTCTAGGGCTTCAAACTTAGACTCACAACTGCTTGGTTCCTTCGACTTCTCGACTGCAAATCCGACCCTTGGTTCCGACGGATGGAGGATAAAGTTGAGCGGCAAAGGAGGACATGAGCTATCGGACTCACCAGTTGGACTTCTCCGATACTCTCGAATGGCTTCGACCTCTTCCAAGTAATATGTTCGGAAGGGATATCCGCGAACGTTCATTGGATAGTCATTAGGATTTTTGCTCGCTTTCCATTGCCTCGTGACGTAGTCAGACGAGGGCCAGCCGGGAATTCTTTGCTTGTTTCCTTCAAAAATAGCGAGATAATCTTCTACGTCTACACAAATGTGTGCATGGAACTTGTCCTTTGTTGTCAACCACGACCCAAAGTGGATTGACAAAATAGCCGAGTTTTGAAGCTTATATCCAGAGACTATCGACAATGCTGATTTGACTACCTTCGGCCTGGCCTTTTGATCCAACTCAAAGTATGTGCTTATAAACTCATTGCGGGGCAAAATGATAAAATGAGCTCTGGGACTGTAGTAATCGAACACTACCTTGAACGTATCGCATTTTTCTTTTGCAGGAATCAAATCAAACTCCTCGGCCATCTTCAGTTAGTTATGTTGATCTTCTCGCAGATGCTTCTTTTCTTTAGATACAGACACCTTTTGGCAGCAATTGCGTCAAAGAAATCAGAAAGACTACATAAAACACTCGATGATTTTTTAGTATCAAAATTTCTGAGGCAGTCTTAAGATTCTCGTTCCGCGTCATGGCCAAGTTTGATCCTACGAAATCAACCAATCAGGGAATTCTTTTTCCCCAGTAGTCAAGGAAACCTTAGGACGTCATAATCCCTAAGTGGGCTGACCTTTTCCCCGAAAAGTCCTTTCTAGGAATTATCGAGTTGATGTTAAGTCTCCTCTTTAGCTGCACAGGAAACGTATTGTATTACAAGCTTTGGATGCAAATCGTAATCAATTTCTCAGAAACGTCCTGACCCGAAACTAATATTGCTTGTGAGCTTATGCAGACTTAACGGAAAAAATAAATTTAAACGATTTAAATTAGTTTTCCTACAATCCTAATGAAAAACAATTGAGTGTAAGTACTAGTTCGGCTAGACGGAGTAGTGTTTCAGAGCAAGGTTCCTTAACAGTGCATTGATCGAAAAAATGTTTGAGGGCCCAGAGACCTTCGTCATTGGGAATGACAGCATTAAGAGATATAATATTTATAGTGAAAACAAATTTGTTTTGGCCAAGGAAATTAAAGTCACGAAAAATTTCAAGTGCGTATTGGATTTCCTTAATGTAAGATGGTAAAGTTTTGACGATGGGTACCATAATTTTGTATAGTCTGATATCTAGACAGCCATTCAGATTATCGAAAAAGCCTGACACACCGCTATCTTTGTTGATTGATGCCCTGTGATTAAGACTATGCAGCCATTTAATGACTTGAGCGGCGGCATCCGATACCGATAAATTCAATAGAAGAACCCTCGGTCGTTTCACCCCTTACCGGCTCCTGACACTTCTTAAAAAGAAAACTTGTTTAAACTATATTTTTATCTAAATTTGCATTTATTAAGCTTTCTTCTGGTGTATAGTTTGCTAGGATTTTAGCGAAACTAGCACGAGTAGGAGTTTTATCCCGAAGGACACCAGCGAAGGTGGAAAGTAACCTCAAAAAGCTTCTATGAAGAAAACAAAATCCTCGGTTAGCAAAACAGCTTTAAAACTTGTTTAAACTTTAGTATGAATTGGGAATAATTTTCTCGGTTTCTGGTTAATATTGTAATTTTGAATCTTTCGAGTACAAGAAACCAGGAAAATGTTGTTTAAATGGCACTAATAATGAAAATTCATTGACTTCAATTCATTGCGCAATTATCAATGTAAAATTTTCAATTGCACTCTACAATGCTAGAAATTTCAACTATACCCAGATATTAGAGCTAAAAATTAAAAAAGAAATTGACTTAGAAATATAGAAACCAAAAAGACATACATTTAAATTTAAAAGCTTTTGCGAATACTGAACTAAGTCAACTAAATGCAGATTTATTGAAAAAACTATAGGATTTATCTGTGAATATATTCAACGAAATTCATTATACCTCGAACGACCGTGAAGAACAACCTAAGCTGTCTTCGCAAAAAGAAACGAAAGATGAAAGTAAACAGGTCGCGAGGAGATATTCAGGTAGATACTCTATAATCGCCCTTCGCACTAAATTTGGCGAACCACTCATCCTTCTTGTCATCAGGACACAAATCTCTGTAGAACTTCAGTCCAGATACTTGAATGAAGCCAACGAGAATCTGAGACTCCTCGTCAAAAAGGAAGCCTGCAATGAGGGATAAAGCAGCAAGTAAATGTATTTCGGAATGTATGACTGCATGCATCCTTTGCATCTATTGCTCCGTTACAAAAGGGAGAAGGATTGCAGTTGGCTTGCATTTCGGTAGTGTTGTACGCCCGATATCTCTTAGCTAACTATTTCTTAGTAAACCTGACCGTAAAATAAAGGAGTTTCTTGTCATCATTCGACTGAACATTTTTGCCAACATCCAACCCGTTTTACGAATTTGTAGCTTGTCAACTTTATGAAGCTTTTATGAGCAGAGTGAACCTATTCAACCAAATCTTTAATACTTCAAACGGCTGCGAGGAACAATATAGGCTGTCTAAGCAAAATGAGACGAAACATGAAACTAAACTAGTATAGTAAGGAAGATATTCAGGTTAACACCTTATAATCTTGCTAAATTTGGCAAACCACTCTTCCCTATGGCCGCTCGATAATTATTTTTGCTTGACTAATTAACAAAATATGTCAATACTGACGTTCCCATAAATATTCAGGGTCATACTCGGTGTTAAGAAGCGTTTGTCTGCACGGTGCCAAGCAATGTTTTCTTGAAAACCTAATTAGAAGCGTCTTGTCTAACACATTATGTACTTGAAAGTAGACTAAGGGGACTTTAATCTGAATTCTTCAAAACTTTTTAAGGCAGGTTGACAAGAATGGACTTACCATGCGACTTTTTATCAAGGACCAAACACAAGTGGCATCCCTCGTCGCCACCTTTCGCATTAATTTTGGTAAGGTTTTGGTCTTTTGCATAGTTGAACATCGTTTCTAGGGCTTCAAACTTAGACTCACAACTTCTTGGTTCCTCCGACTTCTCGACTGCAAATCCGACTCTTGGTTCCGACGGGTGGAAGAGGAAGGCGAACGGCAAATGAGGACATGAGCTATCGGACTCACCAGTTGGACTTCTACGATAATCTCGAATGGCTTTGACCTCTTCCTTGAAATATGTTTTGAAGGGATATCTGCGAACGTTGATCGCATAATCTTCTGGATTTTTGCTTGCTTTCCATTCCTTTGAGATGTACCTACTCAAGGGAAAGCCGAGAATTTTTTGCTCGTACCTCTCATAAATAGCGAGATAATCGTCTACGTCTACACAAATATGTGCATGGAACTTGTTCTTTGATGTAGACCAGGACCCAAAGTGGAGGGACAAAACAGCCGACTTTTGAAGTTTATGTCCAGAGACTATCGACCAAGCTGATTCGACTATCTTCAGCCTGACCTTTTGGTCCAACTTCGTGTATGTTCCTGTGTGCTTATTGCGGGGCAAAATGATGAAATGAGCTCTGGGACTGTAGAGATCGAACACTACCTTGAACGTATCGCTTACTTCTTTTGGAGGAATCAAATCAAACTCCTCTGCCATCTTCAGTCAGTTGAGTTGATCTTCTCTCTTGCCAGCAATTGCGTCAGAGAAATCTGAAAGACTACATAAGACACACTCGATGATTTTATATTATCGAAATTTTTGAGGCAGTCTGAGGATGCTATTTCCGCGTCATGGCCAAATTTCATCCTACTAAATCAACCAATCAGGAATTATTTTTCCCCAGTAGTCAAGGAAACCTTAGGACGTCATAATCCCTGAATGGGCAGACCTTTTCCCCGAAAAGTCTTTTCTAGGAATTATCGAGTTGATGTTAGGTCTCCTCTTAAGCTGGTCTGTCAACAGATGAATAATGGCTGTAAATATTTGCCATTATTACCACTTGGAAGGTTCATCAGGTTGGATCCAACGTAACGACCAGCTCCCAGTTGGCTTGTTAGCTCAGTTGGTAGAGCGCTGCACCGGTATCGCAGAGGTCATGGGTTCAAATCCCGTACGGGCCTGAATTTTTTTCAAGCCTTATTTCAACTACTAGTTCAGTAGTGTTCATAGCTGCGAGGATCGCTTTTATATTCGTAGTCAACAGATGATTTTATTTTTTTTCCATTTCTTCTTTTATTTTTACTTCTTTTCGTATATCAATCCAATCTCGAGCCCAGGGTTATTTTGGCCCCTTGTCAGCGGTATGTTCGCCAAATAATGGTGGATATTATGTCCTATACTTAACTTACATACAGTAATAATTCCCCATACATGACGCACCTCGACAAATAATGACGACTATACCGCTGATAAGGAGCCGAAATGACCCTGGGCTCGAGATTGATAGCAATCATAATCCCTGGCGACGTATGGTATTGTAAAGGGGTAAGTTTCTAAAGAAACTGTGGTGCTGTGTCGGTGGGAGAGTATAGCAGGTAATTTAGTGTTAACAACTGGGTTGAAAATGTAAATTAGCCACCGTAAAGAGTAAAAAAAGCTGACGTTTCGAGCGTTAGCCCTATAATATATATATGTTGGTATTGTATATATGGTATTGTAAGCTTTGGATGCAAATCGTAATCAATTAAAAACGTCTTAACCCGGAACTAACATTGATTGTGAGTTTATGTAGACTCAACGGAATATATCATTTACGATTTAATTTAATTTTCTTACCGTTCTTAAACAACTTGAAACACTTTGTGTTTATTGGTATTGCAAATTATTTCACTTACGTGAACGAAAAGCTGAAAGTAAATGGTCAGAGCACCGAGGTTCAGCCTTTGCCGTTTACCGAAAAGGTGACACTTTGATTCTTAGCATCGGTTACGTGAAACGGGGTCTAATTTTGGCCGCGATTTTTGAAGATTAATGGACTTCGAAAGTTCCTCATATGCGCGTTGTATTGAGTAATTTGATCTTTCTCTAGTACCCCTGGTAGTTTCTCGAATACTTAACGTTTAGGTGATATTTTCTTCTTGACGAAAGATTATATAGAGCGCAGTTTGGATGAATAAAGGCTACTTGAAAGTTATTTTAATAACCGGCCTTTAATGTCGCCACGTTAGCAACAATGATTTTTTCCAAGCTAATTCCATGTTTCCCTTGTTGTGGTTATTCTAGACGCCGTTGTGACTGAAGTCAATTTCTTACAAAGTAAACATATCTTCAGTTTTGCGGCGTATACTCTCATTCCGACCTTTGTGGCATTTTTAAATTCAAAAGTACCAATCATTGTTTTTAATAAAAGATCACACCTATCGTCGGCTGAATTGAGATCTAACAGACAAAGTTTTGTTCGTTACCAACCGATAATTCATATGAAGTAGTTTTCATTGAGGGTCGAAAAACCAAAACCAAATCTATCAAAGCAGCAATCAGAAGAAAGATTAACATGAAGACTAAAGTGAAAACAAGCAAACCGCTTGAAGGGCGGGAAACACCAATGACCAGGTCGCGATTGTTTTTAACTTAGCATCTGATTGAGAGTGTGGTGCGAGTTTTCAAAAACCAATCACGAAGTGAAGAAAAGTAAAACTAACACAATTCCGGATTACCATCGACATTCAATTGAAAACAATTAGAAAGCGTTTTAGACGCATAAACTGACCTGATAATCAATTGTAATTGAGCAGTATCCTTTGAAAGTATGGAAATAATTGTTTTGCTATGGTTACTCAAATAATTGTCAGATTGATAGTACTTTCTTTCGTTTAAATTATTTTATCTTTATAAAACGTCAAGAAATCACAGGGTGTTCAGTTTAAAGGGCTTTGCCTTGTGCGAGGGAGCTTTCATCCGCGACCAATTAGAATGCACTTATCCCTTTATGGTTTCTTGTGAAGTTGAGCTAATGGATGATATTGCTCTATTGAGGGAGAATGAGCCTGCATTTGTTTAAAAATGTATTTGAATGCATCATTTCTAGTATATTAACTTTTAGGAATAACAACAGTCTTTTTTACGATATCACGCGATTAGTTGTTTGTCACTCGAGTATTTTAAGTCTCGTTCTTGAGGACCAATCGGTCATTTTTGCCGCGATTTCGATGGCAACCAGACTTAAGTAACGTAAATCAGTTCTCGAAGAGCCCGCATCTATGACGTAAGAATCAAAAACTAAACAGAGCAGAAGTGCATCACTAACGAAACAATCAGACACGTAACACAGAGAACGAGTATCACTAACATAACAGTCAAACACTAAACAGAGAGCGCGCGTCACCGAAGTAACAATCAAACACCAAACAAAGAGAGCGACCATCACGAACGTAATTGTCAAATAGAATGCGCATCACTAACGTAACAGTCAAACATTAAACAGAGAGCGCGCGTCACTAACGAAACAACAAAACACCAAACAAAGACAGCGAGCAACACGAACGTAATTGTCAAACAGAATGCGCATCACTAACGTAACAGTCAAACTTTAAACAAAGAGAGCACGCGTCACCAAATAACTAATTTAAAAAACTGCATTGCCGATTTAACAATTTAAACATTGAAAAGAGTGATAGGGCATATATTTGCGTAACAATTTAAACACAAATCAAAGAGAGCGCACATCACTAACGAAAATTTGAGATTTGCCCCATGACCAACAAATGACACATAAATGAAAACAGATCCGAGACCGTGATTGTCACCTCCTTTGAAGCGGAAGTCATCTCTTGGTAAGATTCCAATTCTGCGCATATTCGTTTGAACGATGGCATATCATAATTATTATTACTTATCTGGCTGAAAGTTGGGTCACCTGGAAGAGCCGACTCACTCTGAATTCCACCCATCTCAAAAAGAATCTCTCTGACGGTCAAGTAGATGTGAATCATCAGAAACGACTTGACCTGTTCTGGAACGTTATCGAGCACTTCACGAGATATTCCACAGCCTGTCGTTGTGTACCATACTGCGAAGTTCAGCTGTTGAGTCCAGTAGCTCATATTCGGCCCCGCGAGCCATCTCCTTTATTCTGCGCATAAAGAGTGTTTTATTTTCATTCTTGTGAATATTCCTCTGAATTTTGCACTGAAGTATTGATTTGGAGTAACAAAGATCTTAATCTCCTCGTTGAAGCGGCTGACAGCATTCTAGTTAAATAGAACTGCTGGCACTCCCTTCTTTCCTATTGGATTCAGAGTGAGTTCAAGGAGAAAACCTCCAATTCCAAGGGCTGTCTTCGTATCATCATCTCAATATCTTCTGTCTGATCCTGAGACGCTCGTCTGAACTCCATCTGATCGATTTAAGTAAACTTCAGTTGTTGCCTGTCTTTTGTTATCGAATGACACTTGCGCACTGAACTTGCTCAGGTCCGCATTTGGTTATCGTGCTTTGAAGTCGTTCCAGGCTTTTGTCTTTCCTTCATCTGCCATTTAATATGCTTAATCTAATCTTAGCCGCGCAAACATTTTTTATTGCTTTTTTAATCAAAATGGTTGTTTTGACAATTATTGCAGATTCAAATGATCACACGGTTCACTTCAGAAAACCTCTTGGTAAATCAAACTATATCAGACTTTTGAATTGTTCTCTTTATAATTCATGGTATAATTTGAGGAGAGGAGGAGAAATATCTCTCTTCGATGGACATAACAATGCAAGTGTTGAAATAATTTTCCACCCTCTACCAACGGCGCCAATTGCTGACGGAGCGCCTATTCAGGGAGATCAAAGACAACACCTGCCACAAATTACATGGCCTTTTGCCGTCATGTAATCTGAGTACCGTAGCCTTAAGGAGAAAGCGCGCTTTTAACGTACCTTTTTGCAGAACAAATAGACTGAAGAATAGTTATATCATGAACAACGCGGCTTTTTCCTAATGGCTTTATCATGTGTAATGCGACTTTCAATATACATATATAGTATTTTTTAGCCTTTTTTTTAATATTTAGTTTTCTATTCTTTTTGTATTTAGTATGAACTAAACATTTGTACAGTCCGTAATCCAGCCTTTTGGCTGCAATGGATTTTAATAAAGCTACCTATCTACCTGGAGGTATTGCTGGTCTTCTCGGCTTCATTTCGGCCGCAGCGACCATCGTAAGTAAAAAACTCACCAAAAAGAATCAAAACGTAAAAATAACCGTATCTCTAGCTGAAGCAGACTCGTCTCAAAGGCTTTGCAAGACGTCTCGATATCAGATGCTAAATTCGCTTTGATATTGAATGAAGTTGAGCAATATTATTCATTGAAAAAAGGACTAAGAAAAAATAACTCGCGAATTTTTTTAGAGAAAGTTGATGACGCAACTCTCAGAGAGGAGATAAAAAAAAGAGTTTCAGAAGAAATTAAGCTCTCTGCTTACACCCGAAAAGAGTTGAGAATTCAAGTTGAAGGAAAATCAAACGGGTTCTCACTGTTTATACCTAGACATAAATACTAAAGATATGCAAATTCGTTACAAATAAATATTTAACACCAGCGCATCACACTGCCCACTTATTAAATGTTCAAGGTATCAGCTGATTGATTTCAAAAGTTATGAATGGTTTATTTTTTGCCTATAATGTTGGCTAATTTTTTGGTTTTGGTTTTGTTTTGTTTTGTTTTGGTTTTGGTTTTGGTTTTGGTTTTGGTTTTGGTTTTGGTTTTGGTTTTGGTTTTGGTTTTGGTTTTGGTTTTGGTTTTGGTTCTGGTTTTGTTTTGGTTTGGTTTTGGTTTTGGTTTCAGTTTTGGTTTCGGTTTTTGTTTTGTTTTTGTTTTTGTTTTTGTTTTTGTTTTTGTTTTTGTTTTTGTTTTTGTTTTTGTTTTTGTTTTTGTTTTTGTTTTTGTTTTTGTTTTTGTTTTTGTTTTTGTTTTTGTTTTTGTTTTTGTTTTTGTTTTTGTTTTTGTTTTTGTTTTTGTTTTTGTTTTTGTTTTTGTTTTTGTTTTTGTTTTTGTTTTTGTTTTTGTTTTTGTTTTTGTTTTTGTTTTTGTTTTTGTT